GGGGTGTTACAAAAAAGCTCTTGCTTCTGCTCTTTTGGAAAATTTTTCCCTTAAGGATTTCCTGATGCTTTTGAGTGAGTTGGACCTAAGTCTCCACCTTTATCTTAAAGAATGAGAAGTGAAACATTCACTTATTGCTGACAGCATGGCTGTTATCCTGACCTTGAAGTGGCAGTAACAGACCATTGGCCCTGTTATTTAATTTCTGCCAGAAAGAAGGATTATAGGTTACTTGGTCTCATAATTTTTGGTAGACAGCCCTCTCTCTAACTCTTTGCTGATTTATATTTTAAAATCCCATATAAGTAACTTTATTTAGTTATCTGAGTAGGCATTACTTGTATCAGTTTATCTTGGAGGGCGTAACAGGGAGTCACATTGCTCAAACTAAGTGCTTCATTGAGACAGTTTTTTGTATGATGTGGGCATTTAAAAAAAAAGTTTTTATTGATTTCAGAGCGAGGAAGGGTAAGGGAGAGAGAGCGATAGAAACATCAATGATGAGAGAGAGTCACCAATTGGCTGCCTCCCGCACGCCCCCTACTGAGGATCCAGCCCGCAACCCGGGCATGCGCCCTGACAGGGAATCAAAGCTCCATCTCCAGGCTCATGGGTTGATGCTCAACCACTGAGCAACACCAGCCGGACTGAGGTGGGCATTTGGTTATCATCGCTTTACAATGTTTCTAAGCTACAACTCACAAGATAGAACAACATCTTGAGGGGGGAGGTTATCATTCATTTATCCACATATAAAAGCTGTCTCTAAAATACTTTCTGATCACAATTTTACCCCTGCTAATGAGAACACCCTCAGATCACCTGGAAGGTAAGCATACAGGTGTCATCCTTATCAGGCTCCTCAGTTTTCATAAGAGCACGTTGATCCAATCCAGAGCTCCATGGCTGGCTAACGCATACAGCTCTGCACTAATTGGCAAGCAAGAAGAGGCACGTGTCAAAGAGGATCATTTCCACTCCACCACTCTACTATTTTATACTTTTCAGAAGCTCTCCTGAGAGAAAAATGTTTATGAAAGCTTCCCCGAGAGTCTACCCATTCTACGACATCACTGGATCTTATGCCATACCATAGTCTCATTGAGTAATTTAGCAAAAGTTATGAGTTCTCCCTGTACCAAACAAACACAAAGTGAACATACAACTTAGGAAGGTGGAAGGCGGAGGGGAGAGAGTCATGAGACCCCTGAAGTTAATCCACGGGCTGAAGTCTAAAAAGCTCTGCTCTATAAACTCTAAAATCTATCCCTGAATTAAGCAAGGCCATCAGGGCGCCACATGGATGGAAGCATCACATTGGCTTTGTCCTGAAATGCTTACTCTAAGCTGTGCGCTTCACAAGTCCACTTGCTTTTGCTGAGGCACAGGAGGAGGAAGAGCCTCTGTTATGGTAAAGAAGATGATGGGACTGTGCTTAGATACACAGGGTTTCTATATCTGAGAATCGAGGGGAGACTTCTGCCTCTCTAGTCTCAGCTCTGCTCCTCCTGAGCATTAAGCTCTTTTTTTAACCTCATGGAAATGGACAGTTTTATAAGTCTTATGTTTCTTTCCCCATGGCTGCTAGAAAATTAATGGTATACTTCTAGCATGTATTTAAGTCTCGTTTCTGACTCCATTTGATTTTAATTGTTCTTTGCCTTATTTTCATTATAGTGTTAATTTGTTCTATGTTGCCATGTTGTATAGAAACTCCTCTGATATCTTTTAGAAGATAGCAATCTATAAATGAGTTACATTGTAGGAGACAGAAGGAAAAAAAGACATATTTTCCACCTGCATTCCCACTGGTTATCTATCGAAGTGTACCTACCTAAATAACTTCCTAAAATACTCTTGTTATTTGTGTGTGTGGGGAGGGGGAGTGTCAGTGAGAGCTACAAGTATTTGAAAGGTAGTACTTATTCAGAAAACTCATACTGGAAGAATATTTTAGAATTCTTTTTGATTAACATAACGTGTATATATGTTTGCACCTATATGTGCATTTTTAAAGTAACCATAAAGTATGGTTATGAAAGCATGGCACAGACTGATAGATCTTGGGGAGAGGGGAGAGGGGAGAGGGGAGAGGGGAGAG